TCCACTTCAAATGTATTTCGTTTGTATTTAGTGTGGGAAAAATGAAGTATTTTTGTGCAGCATGCACAAAATGATGTGGAATTTGGCTGGTGTTTTTGAAAAAACACATATGGCGCTGGTGTTTTCATCCAATTTTGACCGAGAATTATGTGAAATTTAACATCGTTTGGAATAGGCTCTGCCCGCGCAACTTCTGTCATCGCATCAAAATGGGAAAGACAAAACGTGGCCTGCGTGGGATATTCATCATCATTTTTGTCCAAAAATTGTCGAAATCAGTGCGCGTTTAGAGTGGTTTTACGTTTTTTTTCCTTCTCGCTGTGGTGCCGTACAAGTTTTTTTTGAAAATGTTGTTTTCCCAATGACACCTATCAGAACACAGACTGCGCACTTTGTTTTCTTCTTCACTTTCGAAGCAAGTTGAGCTGGTGGATTGTCTTCGTGCGAATTAGAGTGAGGCGATTGATATACCTCCATTGGAACGCGCGCAAGTAAACCTCAATCAATTCTGATTGGCTTCCTAGCTGTTTTGGAATGAATGCTTTGCACACATCAGCAGCGTAGCAACATGTAACGTAGTAAACGATCCCAGAGATCTCAGCAGCGTAGCAATGGATCATGTACGAAGTACAAGGTACGTGAACATCCCCCACCCCCCCACCCCACCCCATCAGCAGCGTAGCAACATGTAACGTAGTAAACGATCCCAGAGATCTCAGCAGCGTAGCAATGGATCATGTACGAAGTACAAGGTACGTTAACATCCCCCGCCCCCCCACCCCACCCCATCAGCAGCGTAGCAACATGTAACGTAGTAAACGATCCCAGAGATCTCAGCAGCGTAGCAATGGATCATGTACGAAGTACAAGGTACGTTAACATCCCCCACCCCCCCCCACCCCACCCCACCCCAACATAGAGATCTTCAAAAATGTGCGTTTTACTCGTACGGTTTTCGGGGCGTAAGCAAAAGCATGCAAAGCCGGTTTAATACGTTAGAAATATAGAGCTAGACAGGGTCCAGTGGCGAGGTTGTGGCTCTCAAACGCTGCAAATATCGTACAAATCAGTCAGAGGCCGTGCCTTCCAAATGCTGCAAATAGCATTAAAAATGCGAGGTTGGAGGGTGGAGTCGGTGTGGGGTTCCTGGGACCATGGCAGGTGAGGTGGGACAGTGAGCGCATGTTGGCAAGCCATAAGCCGGCCTGGACCAAATGATTCTGGATAATTGATATCCAAAGAATGGACGACACGCACCAGATCCAGGTTTGTTTGAACCATTGTATAACTGGAGGTTTATGGGTCCAAATATGAATTATCCAGAAAGGATTGGCAATGCGGTCTGATTTATTGTCTGAGTCAGCTTCGGGTAAAGCCCAAGCTCGCTTCCCTGATTTTGTAACTTTCCAGCCACGTTACAGGTCCAAACACCTTGCTTTAAACTTGTGTGCTTTGGCCGCAATGGGGTTGTCAGAATCTACCCATGGAATCCCATGGACCCAATTCTCCTGAGAAATTCTGGCAATGACACTTCTCAAGCTCCGAAAACGTGGCTGATGCGTGGCCGCTTCTTTTTCAAAAAAAAAAGATCCGAGCGGCAGATGCTTAAGATTGTTTGAATATCTTAAATGGTCTTTTTCAATTTCAAACGGCCTTTTTCCAGGCCTTCTGCTTCAGATGGGTTTGCCTGAAATATTTTCAACAAGCCCAGATTCTTTGTTTGAAGAAAGCCATTGACTAGCTTTCAGCACAGCTTGCACCAGCCAATCTCTGCTACGGGGACAGTGCAGTGGCTGACTTTTCTTGGCTGTGCGCTGGCTCCTTGCCACAAGATCTGGGTAGATCTGGGGAGATGAGAGGGAAATATGGGGATATGTGGGTATGTATGGGGAGGGGATAGTGCATGGGATCTTTGCTCAACAAATAGTAATTCTGATACGACAGGATATAGCCGGGTTCGTGTGAAAAAGGAGGATGGGTGCCCAATGCAGGGCCACGTTAAGAGTGAACATGATGATCAACCATCAGATTTGGGGTTACCCCACTTTAAGGCAAGCTCAACTGGCAATGATGGGGATACAACCAATTCAAGGGGACATAGTGTGCAGATGACAATGATGATAGAGCTCACTTTTGGTGCCATCGTTGTTACAGTAAAATCGATGGACGGATGGCAACGATGACTTTGATATACCCAAAAATTGTGGGAATACAAAGCGATAAAGAGGATATAGCCAAAAATGAACCAAATCTCGACCAACAATCATTAGGATACGCAAGTGGCATGGGAAACTCCACCACTTTTGCACACATCATCTACTCGAATGGGGATTTTGCAGGCTGCTGCCAGATTTACCAGAAAAGGAGCGGTTCATTTTCAATTTGGCAAGAGGCCAAAAACCCGCAGAGAATATCCTCTGCTTTTGTCCCCTGCCAACGCCGGGGCATTTTTCCATATATCTTTTCCCAGGCATGGAATCTGGTTGAATTATGACAACCTCACCACATCTCACCACGACGTTTCTGTAGATGATTGTAAATGGCCAGGATTTTGGGGACGACGATTTCAGGTTGGGGACTGATGGTTCAGCCAGTTTTTGGATGCTTCTGATGCTGAAAGCACGCAACGGTGTCGGGTGGTTGTTTTATGTTGTTTTTCCTTTTCCATCCGAGCTTTCCGGATCCAAGTCATTCCTTTCAAAATGTGACATTCTGAAAGATTCCGTGAGTTGACATGCATACATGCATGCATAGATGCATAGATAATTACAGATACATACATACATACATACATACATACATACATACATACATACATACATACATACATACATACATACATACATACATACATACATACATACATACACACATACACACATACACACATACACACATACACACATACACACATACACACATACATACATACATACAGACAGACAGACAGACAGACAGACAGCCATGCATGCATGCATGCATGCATGCATGCATGCATAGGTACATAGGTACATAGATAGATAGATAGATAGATAGATAATTAGATTAGATTAGATTAGATTAGATAGATAGATAGATAGACAGATAGACAGATAGATAGATAGATAGATAGATAGATTAGATAGATTAGATAGATTAGATAGATTAGATAGATTAGATAGATTAGATAGATTAGATAGATTAGATAGATAGATAGATAGATAGATAGATAGATAGGTAGGTAGGTAGGTAGGTAGGTAGGTAGGTAGATAGATAGATAGATAGATAGATTAGATAGATTAGATAGATTAGATAGATTAGATAGATTAGATAAATTAGATAGATTAGATAGATTAGATAGATTAGATAGATTAGATAGATTAGATAGATTAGATAGTTAGATAGATAGATAGATAGGTAGATAGGTAGGTAGGTAGATAAATAGATAGATAGATAGATAGATAGATAGATTAGATAGATTAGATAGATAGGTAGATAGATAGATAAATAGGTAGCTAGCTAGATAGGCAGATAGACAGACAGATAGACAGATAGACAGGCAAACACATAGATAGACAGACAGTCAGACAGGCAGGCAGACAGACAGACAGATAGACATACAGACAGACAGACAGACAGATAAGTAGATAGATACATAGGGACAGACATGCGTACATACAAACAAACATACAACCAAACATACAAACATGCATCGCATGACATCACATCACATCGAAGAATTTGTTGGATATCTCTCAAAGCAGAGGACCCAGCACTGTGACCGTTCATGTGTGTGGAAGCCAGAATCTGTATGACCAAGTGTTCAGTTTCACCGGGTTCCAAGATCGTCCAACAAGACCATCAGCCGTGGCAAGACAAACTCTCATCGTGAATTCTTATCCGTTGATTGTGTATGGGTCAAGCATTGAGACCCATCGAAACACACATGTTGTTAATTGTTAGTATGAAAGTAGCTCATTGCCTGGTACACAACGACTAAATCCATACCGAATTCATACTTTTGACACGCAACGAGTGCCGACGCCACTCGTTGATCAGCATCAGCAGCAACTGTGCCTATCAGAGAGGGCTTGCGATGGCCGCACGGGAGTGTGTCCAAGCTACTCACATGCTACTCTTGTACGGGTGATGTGCGATGGAGCCAGGAGTTTGCTGAGATCGCCCGGGATTGCGAGATTGACTAGTTATTCACATCCCATGACCATTCTTAACTCATTTTTGGTGAGTTACGCGGCCAAAAACTTAGTGAACATTAGTTCACATGAGTTGACCACATTTTAACCTTTGCAGTTATTGTAGCCCCCTATCCCTTGGTGAATGGATTTCATCGAGGTATATCTGGATCCCAGATCTGCGTTGAGAATGGTGGGGTTTACCACCCTTAAAATGGCCGTTTTAAGATGTTTTAATTGGGAAAAATATGATCAACCAATGAATTGTTGGGCCCAACAGTTTCAGACAAACCCACATTGTTTGATAGGGAAAATGATGATTGACGTGAATGTTTCTGGGAGCTCTGGGTAGCATATTTTTTCAGGTACCAGGTTCCCATTTTTGATGATTATGTGAACTGTTTGGGTAAGTAGCAGTCTCACCGTCTGCAACTTGAAGTTTCCATCGAAAATCCATCCGCGACTTACACCCACAGACTGTTCGAGTGGAAATTGGTTCTTCCGAACAAGGGACCCTTCGGGGTGCAGTTTCACAATTTCCAATCCTGATTTCCAATCCAACATCTGCACATGTAATACATGGCCGTAAAGAGACAGCAGTTACATGGAGTTACACCACGACATCCCGACTTCATGACTTTCAACCTTCGTTACGCAAGTTATAGCCAATTAGTTTGCGCTGCACCCCCCCAGTTGTGTGTGTGTGTGAACAATCTGAAGAGATGTAAAACTTCTAAATTTTGCAGGGGGATGAGGGTCCCTTGGTGTGCTACATCTAGCAAAGACTGCACCAAGTGGATGTGATATCAGTGCCCGGCCAGCACTGGCGTACCTGCATCATTCTTCGTATGGCAAGTGGCCAAGCCAAGAACCGCCAAGTCGATTGAGTTTTCGATTTCACCGATTTTCCTGCACGGTTTTCGCAATCTGTTTGTCTCAGCAATTTTTTGACTTTTTCAGCCACACTGGCTATGGCGATGGTAGCTTCCTGCATTTTGGCAAGTCACTTCATCAACCCACTCCTGTCAGGTGTAATGGAAGCGTTTTTGCACGTAAGATGCATTCCACAACAGAATTTCGCAATGACAGTTCTGAGCAAGTGTGTGTGTGGAAGATTAGTACAACATGATTTACTATATAGTTGATTATCAATGGATTGTCCCTGCGTGGAAGCCAACTAAGCTTGATTCCACTCTTCAGTTTCCGTACCAGTGATCGTTTTCACATTGCGACCCGTTGCCTCCTTTCATTGTCAAGGGTAGAGCCTTTGGAGTCCAAGTGAAAATGGAGAAGAAAATGGAGCTCCTGAATTGCAGAGCATCTGCCTGGCTGGGATATAAACCATGGCAAGTTGGGGTTAGATCCCAACTTATGAGGGCATGGTTTACCATGGTTATTACCATGATTATAGGTGGGCAGTCAAAGTCCCTGCAGCTACATGTGATGACAGGTCATGAGCACCGTCCCATACACAAATTTTCGTACAACCAAAATAGTGGGCCTTCTAACGTGTCGAGTGTGGAGTTGTGTGCATTCAGTAACTGAGACCAGCTGGGGCCATCCCTTGCTTGTTGTGGGAATGTACGGCACACACGGCTAGTTGTTTCAAACAGTGCAACAGTAAAACCCGCAAAAATCTTTGTGAGATCTTTCCCTTGGAGGTTTTGGGCTGCTCACCTGCTTCGGATTCGCCTGCAGTTTTTTTGGGGCTCCAAATTGGTGTTTGGGTCCGCTGGCACCATGGGTTGTGCTGCCAGCATCCCGCCGTCGCCGCAACGCTACAACTTCGTGGGGCCCGAAGTACGAAGCTCTCCGCACTTGGACGCGGCAGATTGGTCGGAGCTGTGTGGCTCGTCGTTTTGTGGCTGGGTTGCTGGGGTCGGGCCTGGGAATTCACTGTGACAGTTGGTGCAAGCTAGTTTGTTGAAAATAACAGTCCATGGTCCGAATGGAACTGTGAAATCTTCAATTTTTGGAAGTGAATTGGATGTGGGTTGTACCCATCA